TCCCTTCCTCCTGGGAAACATACGATAGGTTTTCGTTGGGTATACAAGATAAAAACAAAAGCTGATGGGTCAGTTGAGCGGTACAAGGCCAGACTTATAGTAAAAGGGTATTTCCAACAGTATGGTTTTGACTACGAGGAGACATTTGCCCCAGTTGCAAAGATGACGACAGTCCGTACTATGATTGCAGTTGCATCCATTCGACAGTGGAATATCTTTCAAATGGATGTCAAGAATGCTTTTTTGAATGGTGACCTCCATGAAGAGGTTTATATGACTCCTCCCCCAGGAATTCAGCACCGGCCGGGTTTGGTTTGTCGGCTTCGCAAAGCTTTGTATGGTCTCAAGCAAGCCCCTCGTGCTTGGTTTGAGAAATTCTCCACAGTGATTACCTATCTTGGATTTGGCCAGAGTAATCACGATTCTGCTTTGTTTGTTAGATGCTCGAGTGCATGACAGATTCTTCTGTCCTTATATGTGGATGACATGATTATTACGGGTGATGACCATGGTGGTATTGAGTCTTTGAATCATGATCTAGCTCATCGATTTGCTATGAAGGATTTGGGCTTGCGACATTATTTCTTGGGTATTGAGGTAGCTCAGTCTAAGAAAGGGTATCTTCTTTCTCAGACTAAATATATATCTGACTTGTTTACACGGGCGGGCCTCTCTCACAATCGGACTGTTGATACTCCTCTTGAAACCAATGCACGATACTCTCCTACTGATGGTGTTCCTTTGTCCGATCTAACATTTATCGCACTGTTGTGGGAAGTTTGGTCTATCTCACAGTTACTCGTCCAGATATTGCTCATGTTGTTTATGTTGTCAATCAGTTTGTTATTGCCCATGCTGTTCACATTTAGTCTTTAGCCCATTAGGGTTTTGTGTAGCTAGTATTTATATGCACCTTTATTCTTTGTAGTCTTTATACTTTCCATTGAGAACCCTTGTAATTTCTATTTATTATAATCATATGACAATGTTATCATCATTGAATCAATATCTTACAATATATATCAACATGTTAACATGTATATCGTCTCCCTTGAAAACCACCATCCTAACAAAATCTTGCATCCCCATCCCTCCTATTGGTCGTATAAAAAGATAGAAATATTCCTATGAATTATTTTTAACAAGCAAAAAGGTTCCAAATAGGATGAAAGAATGATGATTTGTTGGGAAAGCAATAACATACTTATATGATATCTACAAAGTGATTTTTTATCGTCCTTTAACCCATTGGTCATTTATTATGATTTATATTTGATTGTGTTTCTTTGTAACATATTAATATGTCCTTTCCAAGTCGACATGCCCAGTACCTTTGTTGCTATTACTCTATATTTGTAAGATAAATACAACAAATAAGAAGACAAACATGCAACTTATAATGATCTTAAGAATTAAAAAGGACAAAAATGATAAATAATGTACAATATGAAGCTATCAAGCACCATTAAGGATTAATCCATCATTTGTTGCAAAAGAAGACCAACAATATTGAACCCAAAACAACTTAGAATTGCCTAGTATGTGATTAAACAAGAAAAATCCCTTTTATGTGTTCGCGAGATGTTAGCGAGATTATTTAAATTTCACGGCCGTTATTTATGTGTAACTTATGGATAAGGTTTGAGACTCGGAAAATAAAAAAGGTTTTTGGGACAGGTCCATGGAATAGAACAATCTAACTAATCAAAAAACAAACTAAAAGTGTAAAGAACATTATCTAAATCCCAATACAAATCAAAACCAACCATACGTTCAACAAAACCAAAGTTAAACAAATATACACTCCGCATCATACCAATTTGTTCAATAATAATTGTCAAGTGACATTGATCAACAAATTAACCCTATTACACTTAAATAATATTAATGATATAAAATCACCAACATAACATTTGGAGAGAGTTTGAGAGTAAGACTCAAGAGTCTCGAGCGACATCATCAATAATAATCTTGACCATAATTTTATAGGGTCTTCTTTTATTCTTGAAGAACCTTGTTACACGCAGCTTAAAATGGTCCCAAAAGGAGTGAGAAAAAAGTGTGGAGGAGGTATATGAAGTGTTGTAAATACAAAGTCTCTTATGGGATCGTTGTAAGAAACAATAACACGGTGTGAAATTGTGAATAAAGAGAGGATGAGCTAGCCATATTTATTTATTTCTATATGATTGAACCATTCTATTGGAAATTAATAACGAAATATAAATTAATCTTGTCGGTTTGTTTCTTGCCAAATCAAATATATTACGTGAGTCCACAAATAAACTTTGGCAATACTTGTATCATGTGATTAAAATCCAGAATATTATAGTTTTATAATGATAATGCTCCTTCTATATATGACGGCGTACGTGGCTACCATATAACCATATTAGTAGTTCCATTTCCAACTCATGAAGGCTACAATGTGTCGTGGGTCCAACAATAATATTTTTATATTGCTCGTAAGAAATATATTTAACTACCATGTGTCGAGTTTTATTGGCGTATACTTTTGATTTCTCTTGATAAATTTAAGAGAAATTAAATATCTTCTTACTTTTCTTCTTACATATCATTCTATCCATTTGAAATGACGACAAGTGTATTAAATTAATGACAATCTATCCAAATAGGACACATGTCACCATTTTACATGGGTAGGAAGATAAGTATGAAGAAAATGTAGGAGAATATTTTATTTCTCTAAATTTAATTAGGTGTTAGTTTTATTAACGTATACCTTTGTTTTATCTATTACACACGCACAATACTTGGCCATTTGTAGCTAGTTGTTTTTCAGAAGACTTCGGACTTAAAAACTGTTGTGCATGTGTAGCGTAGCGCAACACTTGACCCTCTGCTTCAAACCTCTTCACACCTTACTTTAACTTATTGCAACAGTCTGCAGATATTAAAAAACAAACATATTTTTTATTACATGTTGCAGCCGTTTGGTCCGTCTTCTACTACAGAGGATTGCAGAGATGGTCCGCACTTTTTACATATTTTCGCTACGAAAAAACAAACGGCACCTCGCTCAACATGTTTTAAATTAGGATATTAAAATATATTTGTATTAAGGTATTTTTATAAATAAGTCATATCTTTCCTTTCAATACCATCCGTTGAAGATAAGAGTATATCAGTTATAGACAAATCTTGAAAGGGTAAGCTCGGTGTAATGTTTTATAGTCTTAAATATTGTTTACTTTTATAAATATTTTTTAATTCTATGAACACGTTGTGAGGATGACAAGGAAACAACTTCGATAGTTGTTTCATTAATAACTAATTAAGTACTTGTATTTTCGGATAGTTGTTCGTTTATAATTAATCAAGTACTTATATTTTTTGAGAGTTGTTCATTTATTATTAGTTAATCTAGTTGCGAAGATATAAACGCAACTTAATGTATATAAAAAGTAAAATTCCTTGCTAGGCTTACGTGCACAATACCCATCGTCTATTTGTATTTATAGAGAAATTCGAAAAGGCAAAAACAAATTCACAAATATATTGGATTATATTTTTAGGTAACTATCAAAATCTCACTTAATAACCATAATCTCCATGAAACAAAGGTTCGTTAACTAACGAATACACCTTTACCAAGTAAATTTTCGAAACTATCTCGTGAGCAAAATTTACTATTTGCAAAGTTAGTATTACGTCTAATCGGTTACCTATAAGACTCGTAAAAGCTATCGCTAATGATCCGCAATATTCATGTTAAAATGAATTTTGGAAATAATATATAAAAATAAAGTTGTGACAAATCATATGGATATAATGGACACAAACGAAACAAGATAAAGGATCTTAAAATGCTAAAAGAAAAAGTCGGGTAACTTGACTACATCCACGAGTGACAATTAATGATACGGCATAATAAAAATACATTAAACGAAACGAAACTGGGACGAATTAAATTTTTAGTTCGTGTATATTTCGTGATTGTGTCAGGTGTAAAAAACACAATGTTGTGTTGTGTTCATGTTCAGAATTCAACACAAAATTCACACGATATTAACATGGGTTTATTGTATTTTTCATTTTTGTTGTGTTTTGTATGATTAATTATGAATTAAATAAATTAAAAGCTTATATTATTTAAACTTTTTCGTTTTTTGTCGTTTGGTTGTTTTTATCGTGTTTTCGTGTTAATAAAACAACACATGATGTTGTGTTATATAAAACTTGATGTCTTTTCGTGTCGGTAAAACACAAAATGACTGTTTGATTTGTCAACCTAACTATATGAGAGAGAGAGTCCTCATGGCCAATCATAGGAGACTTCATGACTTCACAGTCACATACAACTATAAAAGGAGAGGTGTTCACTCTAATGTGATGCTTCCACATCATCCTCACACTAAAGACATAAACACAATACCAAATCTCTCTATACTAATAAAAGATTTTTTTTTTTTTTTTCATGTATCACCCTATTAGGCCTCCTAATTAATGTCATGCCATTTGTCAACCTATTGATTTTCTATTTTAAATTTTAAATTTTAAAATTTCACTCTAATTATATTAAATTAATAACATTAGAATAAAAAATAAAATAAAATTAATACATATTATAAGATGATATAATTTCATATATTTATTTGAATCAACGATTATAATTTTATATAATTAAAAAAATATCTTTTAATTAATAAAAATTTAATTAAAATAATTAACTAATAATTTTAAGTTTTAACTATCAAATTTTAATTAGTTTTTTAAACGTGATTTCCACACATTATAAATAAACTAGTGATAGTAATAAATATACGCAAACAAAAGTCAGAAACAAATTTAAAACTTAAAAAAACCGAAGAATAAAAATAAAAATAAAAATCCATTAAATAAATACTTAGAGAGTAATTTAATTACCAATATCAACTTTAATACTAAATTCAAAAATATATGATATGTTTTGTATTTCGAATGTTATATGATATGAGGATATCAAGTTAGCAACACTTCATTTTATTATATTTAATATTTAATATTTAATATTCATTTTTAAATTTAAGGCAGTGGTGGCAGCCATATGAGCTGCGACAAGAAGCTCTGATTGAAGATCGGAGAACAATGGAGATCCTCCCCTTTTTTTGAACCACCTACTTCTTTGATTAATCACTTCTCACCTTTCGCGTCTCCTATTTGATACAGTAAGTGTAAGATCTTCTCATTCATATGAATTTCAGTAACTATACGATTGGATTTGATATAGGTTTGATTCTATTTATTTCTTTCACGAACTTGTACAGATTCAAATTTGATGCTGTGTGTACTGTTTCACGCTGTAAACCAATGCGATGATTCAGGTAAAAAATCACTCACTGATTTTCAATTTTCCCCTGAGGCATAATCTCATCGAAGCCCAATCGACGAAGGTAGGGTTCGTGAACTTTCCGTCAACGTCGCTAAATTGCCGTCGGAACTTGACGTCAACGTCGACGAACTTGTCGCAAATCAAAGCAAAGGAGTCTCCTCGAATGTCTTCGTTAAAATCCGGTATTGAAGTCAAATCGAATGAAAGTGGTATCATCAACAATTCGGATGATTCGAATGGTACTAAATCGTAACAGATGCGAATTATAAAGTTGATTATCTCGAATATTCTGTAACTAATTCATGAAAAGTAGGTATGATTCGTCATGAAATCTCAACGAAGGGAAAGCGATCCACGAATATCGTTTGGCATAAATGTTCTGTAGAGAAAATCGATAGACAGGAGTTGCTTCAGCAAAAAGGTTGCGTCATTTGGATTACTGGCCTCAGTGGTTCAGGTTAGTAGTATTAGTACATAAACAATTAACAAACAAAACCTTCATCTTTTCAAGCTTTCTGATCTAATTACAGAGAGTAATCAAGTCCTTTTCAGATCTGAAAATGTTTTTTTAGATCGTATTTCATTTTCAACTTAGTTTATGAACACGAATTCAGGAAAAAGCACCTTGGCTTGTGCATTAACACGAGCTTTGCATTCACAAGGGAAGCTGACATACGTCCTTGATGGTGATAATGTCAGGCATGGTCTTAATCGTGATCTTACTTTCAAACCCGAAGATCGTGCTGAGAATATTCGAAGAATTGGTTGGTTTTCAATTCCTTCACATCTCTTCATCTTAATCAAACCTCTTCTATTCTTCTTATCCTCTAATTACATTACATCTTGATTCATGGATTGGATTATTAGGAGAAGTTGCAAAACTCTTCTCTGATGCTGGAATCATCTGCATAGCGAGTGTCATATCTCCCTACAGGAAAGATCGTGATGCTATTCGATCATTACTCCCAGATGGCGATTTCATTGAGGTTGCTTCTATGATTCTATCATCTATACCTATAAATTTGGCTTTTTCTTTTCTTCTAATGATTCATTTTGTGTTTTCAAACAGGTTTTCATGGATATGCCTTTACGGATTTGTGAGGCTAGAGATCCAAAGGGTTTATACAAGCTTGCAAGAGCTGGAAAGATTAAAGGTAATTTTTTTTTTACAATGAATTACAAAAAGATTATATTTTTATTAAATTCAATTTGATGTGTTAGGGTTTACTGGGGTTGATGATCCATATGAGCCACCACTAAATTCAGAGGTATATTAAGTGTTAACAAATTTAATCTTTTTTTTTTTTTTTTTTTTTTTTTTTAATATGTAAACAAAAATTATATATTGAATTTGCAGATAGTGTTGGAATATGAAGGAGATGTGTGTCCTTCACCTGAGGTTATGGCTGATAAAGTGATTTGTTATCTGGATGCAAAAGGGTATTTGAGGGCATAATAATATTAATAATATTTGAAATTATATTTATGAATAAATTAAGTCATTTCCAGGAAATTACTCGTTTCCTGGTTCTTTTTTCTTTTTAATTAATTTGTTAATTGTTGCAAATATATGATATATGTTGGTTTAGGGAATTTGGTGAATTTAGGGTTTTTATGTGAATGATTGTTGTGTATTTATACTTTATAGTGATTAAGATAGAAATGAATAGGTGAAAATATGGATTAGGGTTTGGTAATGTTATAAGTTATATGTGTATTATGATAATTGAGAATTTATGTTGATTGAAGAATAATATGGTTTTATGTTTTTATGTATATATTTATATGCCAATGGCCTCAATCCTCATTATGGATTCTATGTGTTATTGTTAGACCTAAAAGTAAGGGTATATATGTAATTTACATGTTAACGGTTTAGAGGGTGTTTTGGGATTTTGATTTTGAAGTTAAATATGACTTTTATCGAGAAGGACTTACTGATTTATGAAGGTGAGAAAAAGAGCTTTTAAAAAGTGTTTGTATTAGCTTTTATAGTTGCAAAAGTCAATAAGTTAAAAGAGTTTGGTTTAATTTTGTCTTTTATCTATTTTGTAAATCTAATAAGTCATAAGTTGTTTTAAGAAGTTGAAATTGTGATTTCTTGAATTTTTTTTTAAAGACTAAACAAAAAGTTGTTTTAAAAGGCTTTTTTCTATACCTAAATATATTTTTAATTTATTGACTTTTCAAGAAGTAAATAATTTAAAAAGTCATTTTCAGACGAACAACCAAATACCATTTTAATTACATTGTAACACCTTGTTTATGAGTTTTAGCAAAAAAAAAAAAAAAATCCAAGAAAACTAAGGGAAAGAAAAAATTGTATTTTATGTTCTCGACTTGGAGAAAATGAAAGGAAAATAAATATTTTCTCATTTCTTTCCAAAATTTTTCAAATCAAAAGAAAAATTAGGAGTTTGCAGTTGAATAGCAACAATGCCACAAGAATTTGTTGACTATCCTATTATCTATTGATATGGCTATTGATGAAAAAAATACAAATCTAAAATCTAATTAGATTATTATGGATCAAATCATATGAAACTAGAATTCCAAACATAGATTGAAACTAGAATTCCAAACATAGATTGGAATTTGCAGTTGTCAAAGTTGTCTTTTGATTTTGATATTGATATGCATATTCAACAAGAACCAGAATCACACTACAAAAGCAACTTTTATCCTTGTTCCAAAAACAATATAATATTTCTTTTAAATTTAAATCTTGAAAACCACAAAGAACAAACATCAAAATAAAAATTATGAGCCAAAACATAAATCTGTCAAATATAAAGGTTTCTATGATTAATAAAAAAAAGTTAGGTTTTTTAAGGAAATTTTTTTGTCAATTATTGGTAAACTTGCTAAAACAAAAAGAATATGAAAAAATATGAAGTTTTTTCTGAAAAAAAAAAAAATTCAGAGTTTTAAACAAAAAATTGGAAAATGTAATGTATTTAACAATATCACCTTTTTTTTTTATTACTACATGAAAACATTGTTGTCTTTCTATTGGCGTTTTTCTAATAACCCAATAAGAAATATTCAAAAATAAAATTGGAACTTAAACCTTAAAGTTATACAAAGAAAAAAAAAACTACTTGATAATCTTACCCTTCAAACACCACTATGCTCATTGACATTTGCACTACAACAAAAATTCTTTCAAAAATGCACATTGTGATCAATTTCAATGTACATGCAAAAATAGTGCAAATTAAAAAAAAAAAAAAATTAAAAATGTTTACTTGGATCTCATTTCTCTAGCAATAGCAGGCAACCATCTTTCCCCTCTAATCTTTTTCACGTCTGCAACTCTCTCTTCTTCTCTTCTAGCTTTTGCTTTTGCAGCTGCATCCATGGCTTCAAGCTTCGCTAAACACTTTTCTCTACCTTCTTTAGCTGACACCAGTATTTCATCTCCTTCAACAACAACCGATTTTATTTGCTTTCTAAACTGCAAAACCCAGATTCTTACTCACCACAATGATTAATGCAACAAGTCAAGTCGATTCTGAATTCTGAAGTCATACCTTTTTTGATTTCTCATCAACCTCTACATTAGGGATGATTCTTGGTCGCTTTAATGGCCCTTGAAGTTCATCTGGTGAACAGATATTCAAAGTTAGAAACTTCTTCATATCAACAAAACTAGAAGAACATGTGTGTATTCATTCAATCGATTTATTTACCAGTTTGATCGAATAATATTCCAACTGGAGCATCTCGAAACAATCTAACACCTCCTCCGTTTACATCAGAATGGTTTTCTGCAACTTTCGTTGGCTGATGTTTCACTACTTCTATCGTCTTTTCCAATATGTCATCCAATAGCTTCTGTGCCTGTGGTTTTAGATTCAAAATCGGTGATGAAATCAATGAATGAAGAACTGACGAGAGATTATTTTGAAACTTTTAGAAACCCTAAGTAGCTAGATCCATGAATCGATTGGTGATAGGGTGTAAATGTTTAAGGAAATTAACAAGGCGATAATGTGATATGTGAATCTTTTAATTGTAATGAATTGATGGTAAATTTTCAATCGGAGGCCTAATTGACGAAGAAATACCTTGATGTGGTAGAGTTTGATGCTCTTGAAGTTGGCTTGATTTTCGCGAGTGGGAGAAGCGGTAGAAGTTGTGGCTGTTCCATTGACAGCGGCGGAGCCGGTGGAAGGAGTGGTTGTCGAGACGGAGTTTATGGCGGCTCTCCACTCAGCGTCGCCGTCTTCCTCCCCGCTGCTACTGGAGTCGTTTCTAATGTCACTACCCATTTTGGCGGAGCAAAGGTTTTCGCGTTTAATTAATTGATGTCAACAACACAACCTACAGGTTTACAAATTAGGGATGTTTGTGAATTGGGAGTGTTTTTTTAACTTTAAAAGTGTTTATTGATTTATTCTGTTTCTGGGAAATGAGTTTTTTAAAAAGTGTTTTGATTAGTTTTATGGTAAAAAAGTCAATAAATGTTTGGTTTAAAAGATGTTTTTTGAAAATTATTTTGGTTAAGAAGGCAAAAACAGTTTCAAAAACCAAGTTTATATGCTTTTTAAAAAATATTTTTTTGAAACTTATGGGAAAACTATTCTGAAAAGTGTTTTTGAGTTTGCCAAACATTTTTTTTTTAATTATTAGTTTTTCAAAAAACCAATAAGCTGTTTTGAAAAGCAATCACAAACACCCCCTTGTGATTATATTTTTTCTACACGTTTTTGTAACTTAGAGTATCGGGTATGAGACATTATTGCCCATTATCGTCGATGTGGATAGCCCATAACGTCGTGGTAACGGCTGGAATACCGTCTCAACCTCATGTTATGGGATGAGGCGTTATCGTCGCAACGGGTTGAAACACGAGAATTTTCCGTTTGAATGGTCAATTGACCGTTGATGAACCAAATGGCTTCTAGCCCAACGATATTAGGTGGTGTCCGCTCTTTTTGAGGTCGAGGGTTCAAGTCTCGTGGTGGACATATGTGAAATTAGGTGTTAGTTTAGGAGTAGATTATATATTTATATTTGTCAGTTCAAAAAATTTTTGACCGTTGATGAACAGTCAGTTTAAAAAAAAGATTTTTTTTACTTAATACATTTACGTATAAATACATAATTTACACAACGTTTTACCTACACCATTCTTTTCTTTCTATCAATATTTACAAAAATCAATTCCCTTTTTAACCAAATTATGGAGCAAAACTCAAACACCCATCCACCACCCACAAACCCACAACCAATGAAGTTATTTTAATCTCATCTCATCGCAAATTCAATTTCCTACATCGCCCTACATGCAACAAAACCTTGTTGGCCATAACTCAAACTTACAACAAAACATTTTCAATACTTTTTAAACTCCCTTTCACTTTAAGTTCTCTATATAGCTTTAAACTTTCCAATATCTTACTTTATTTTATCTTCAATCGTATATGCATTTCATGCCTCTTTCCATAAATAGCTTTCCTTAAAGCTTTCAACACACATGCACGTATAGGCTTTTTGCCCAAACAGCTCTCTATAGAGCTCACAATAACAATTCATGTATTGGCTCTTGCCAAACTCATCAAATAACCAACTACATGGTGCTAAGCTTACCTAAAGCTCTCAAGTCTCACCGCCCAAATATATACATACAATCCGATAATTTCATTAAACAGTTTGCAATGCCCTTTTTCCTTAACCAAGGAAGACAAGGATTTATATTCTTAAAGTTTTAATAGTAAAACCTTTTTTCACATGATAAGCATAGTCACACCTAGTTTGTATTCATTACTTTTCACATAAAACTAATTACTTTACTATGTACCCAAAAAATCCATATGTACTCACATGACTAGTTAGTAAAGACTAATTATCGTCGCAACCTGAAGCCTTGTGTTGCTTTCCACCTTTCACCTTGTCCAAACCTATTCAAATAGTTACCAAGTTCCTTAGAACTTTGTACAAACTTATCATCACTTCTACCACAATGGTCATTTATTCAACCATTAATCGAACCCGGTAACCATTTGTTGCCAAACTCACCAAGTCCTATACTATAACTACTACACTGTTTAACCCCGTAGACCGTCCGTCTGATTACTCACTTTAAATCGCTATGTAGCTTACAGTTTATAATCCTCATTAACCAACTAAGAATTCAACCGGGAATTCATTCCTCCAACTTATCCTTCGAGTTCATAATAACATCGTATCACAGACTCTCCAAACCAACTTGGGTTCTAACAACCTTACTGTAACGACGTTACATAATTATATCTACATAATAATGAGACACGAGAATACCTTATCTCGCTTCGTAATCGACACCTTGTATACCGACGTTAGTATGTACTCCCATAAATTACACGTCATTGCTTAAATACTTGGAGTTCTCGTCAGAAAAAAAAGGTGCAACGAAAGAACACCTCAAGTTATTTATACTAGGCCGAATCACGTGCCGACACACCGCATCAGGAAAATGGACGCGTCGCATCCACGTGTCTAGCCTAAAGACCGCTTTGTGTCTCGCCACATGTCAAGCTCCTTGCTACATGTGTCCTGCCACCCGGACTAGAAAACGCGCCACACCATTAGGTACACGGACCATGCCTTTGTGTTTGACTTTCTCAAAATGGCATTGTACTTTCTAGTTCTCCATTATTGCATTCATGCACACTATTTTCCTTAATTTTTCAAATAGGAAGTAATTATTTTCAGGTCGTTGGGTGAGCTCCATTTTAATTAGTATCATTAAAAAATTAAAAAAAAATACAAAAAAATTAAACAAAACCATTTCAATTAATATTATTAAAAAATTAAAACAAAATAAAAAAAAAAGCTGAACAAAACCAGAAAAGGTATAATAATCATTTTTTATTCACCCCAAACTATATGAATGATTTATAACTTACTATTTGTTTTCTACTTATAAATAACAAATAATATGTTCTAATAATTTATTTCTTTCATTCGATCCAACCAACCATCACAATTACAATAAAGCATAATGATCAAATCTTTTATCCAGCTTAGATCATTATTCATTCCTTTATTTCTCTTATGACATTCCATTCCATGATACCAAATAAACCATATTATCTCAAATTTCATGTGTAATAAAATTTTAATTAATCAAATCTTTTACTTTTCACAATTAGTGGGCCTTAATGTATGGGTTAATATCAGAATCCGGCCCATAGCAAACAATATTTTTGCAAATTCTTAAAATTAGCTCTGTGGTTCAGACTTCAGATCACCACCGCAGAATTAAGCCGGCTCGGCGGACTTATTAGCGACCACCGTATCAGATCCAGGAGCTCCGATTTCCGACATCGTTTCTCCATTGGCGGGGATAAGAAAGAAAGAGAATAGAGGGATCTATTTGCACAAATACACTTATTATTCTCGGCGAACTCTCCTGTAAACCCTAATTTGCTCCAAGTTCAGAAATTTTGAAGAAAGATGGGGAAGAAACAACACAGCAAAGACCGGATGTACCTTACGAAGACGGAGTGGGCCACCGAGTGGGGTGGTGCTAAGTCGAAAGAACTCCGCACACCTTTTAAACGTCTTCCCTTCTATTGCTGCGCGTACTCACTTTCTTCATCTTTGTCTTTTAATTCAAATTTCTGAAATTCTATCTGTGTGTATGCTTCCTTTTCATATGCGAGTTGAAGATTGACTACATCACTTTCATGAAATTCGCAGCCTCACATTTACTCCATTCGAGGACGCAGTGTGCACTGAGGATGGCAGCGTTTTCGATATCATGTGAGTGTTTATTATTATTATTTCAGTGGTTTAGTAATTGTCTTCGAGGATTTGGGGTTCATTTTATTGTTAAAGTGTATATGACCAGTCTTCTGAAGGAATTTGGAGTTGTAAACTTTGGATTTTGTTTGGTGCAACTCCTAAAACATTTACTTTTTCGTCGCTGAATGGTAGTGTTATAGGAAAATCCCACCAAGTATGAATAGTTGGAGGAGCTTCAAAGAGCCATAACTCCAAATGGAACCACTTAGTAATATAGAATCACATCAAAACTCAAATAGAAGTATAGAGCTTTCTTTAACTTGAAATCATTTAACTTGAAATCAAAACTGTTTCTCTATTAGGTATTGTTCCAATCTATGGATTGGGAAGACAATATCTAATTATTTTTTCTCATGCAAGGAAAGGATCACCTTTTTGCTTCAAATCCTTGAAGTGATCATTCATTGCTGATTTGCTGCTATGTAATTTGGTTTTATCCATGAATTCGGTTAAAATATGGTTGTTGTTTGTTCTCTATTTTTCACAAATCTCTAGTTTTTAAACTCAATTATGAAATTTGGTGATGTAGGCACATAGTCCCCTACATAAGGAAATATGGAAAGCATCCTGTTTCTGGAATTCCTCTCAAACAAGAAGATCTCATCCCACTTACATTTCACAAAAACTCTGAAGGTATCATTCCATTATACTATACATATTCTTTCTTTATAATAATATTCTTGATATTCCTCATCTTCCTAAAAAAACCCTTTTTTCTATATTCTAGGAGAGTATCATTGCCCTGTATTAAACAAAGTTTTCACAGAGTTCACACACATTGTTGCCATAAAGACAACCGGAAATGTCTTCTCCTACGAGGTTTATTATTTTTTTTCTTCCTATTTTAATCATTAATAATACATATTTCTTTATAAATTAAAAACACCCCTTTCCATATAACTCTACAGGCAATCAAAGAATTAAACCTTAAAACCAAAAACTGGAAAGAGCTTCTAACCGATGAACCCTTCACAAGGCAAGACATCATCACAATTCAGGTAACATAACATGACTTTTAATTCCCTACACAAAGGGCAAATTCGTAATTTCATACATGTCTTTGTAGAATCCAAACACACTCGACAACAAAGCCCTGGTGGATTTCGACCATGTCAAAAAAAGCCTAAAACTTGACGATGAAGGTATTTAATTAATCATTTTCCCTTTTTCATCCTTAATTTTTAATTTTTAATTTTTAATATGCAAATATTGATTCTTGAAATTACCTGTTAGAAATCAAGAAAATGGAATCAGATCCAAGCTACAACATAAATGTAAGAGGTGACATAAAGCAAATGCTAAAGGAGCTAAAAACAGAAAAGGGTCGGGAACTTGCACTGCATGGTGGTGGTGGAGACAAGGCCCAAAACGAAAGAGCCGCCGCCCTCACCGCCATTTTAGCCGCCAGAGAACGGATTGAAGTCAAAAAAAGTCAACCAGGTTTCAGTGTTGTTGATGCTGCATCTGCTTCTGTTCATGGAAGAAGTGCTGCTGCTGCTAAAGATTCTTCAAGTGACAAAACAGCTGCAAGAATTGCCATGCATATGTCTGGTGATAGAACACCTGTAAATGCCAAAATGGTAAATTTCCTAAAATACCCTCACATTTTACAAGTTTTTTTTTTCCAAAATGGTTAATCTCATAAAAGATTTTATATTTTGTGTTTTTCCTTCCGGATTAAACCTCATCTTTATTTTTTTTCATAAAAAGACCTTATATTTTTTTCAGTTTTTTCCAAAAAAAAAACCCTCAACTTTGTCTTTTTTTTTTTTTGAGTAAATTACACGAATGGTCCCTATGGTTTAGGGTAATTTGCGCGTTTGGTCCCTAACTTATTTTTTAAACTCGGAAGGTTCCTAACAAAAACAAATACTAGGGACCTTCCGAGTTAAAAAAATAAGTTAGGGACCAAACGCGCAAATTACCCTAAACCGTAGGGACCATTCGTGTAATTTACTTTTTTTTTTCTTGGGAATAAAACCATCAACCTTCTAAATATTTCCAAATAAATCCTCAACTTTTTTAGTTTTTCATGAAAAAACCCTCGCATTTTACAACTTTTATAGAGAAAAATGACTAAAAGGTCAAATCGGAAAAAATGAAAAAAATCCAAAGTCTTTTTCATAAAAAAAAATAAACTTGAGGTTTAATCTGAAAAAAAAACACAAAATATAAGTTTTTTTACGAGATTAACCCTTTCAGAAAAAAATGACTAAAAGGGCTTAGATATAAAAAAAAAAAAAAAAAAATTCAAGGTCTTATGAAAAAAAAAAGTTGAGGTTTAATCCGAAAAAAACACAAAATACAAGGGTCTTTTATGAAATTAACCCTTCTTTACTCATAATAGCTATTATAAATAAAAACTAAAGTACATTGCTATTCTTGCTAAAGATATTGGTGTGGATAAGGTTAACAATTTTTCCTTTTGTAAATCACATAAAAAGATGTATGAATTTATTAAGGCTAAAAAAGTAGGTTACCATTTTAGGTAAAGAGCCGTTACACAAGTGGGGCCACATCAAGATCCTTCACATCCACATCATACGACCCAATCACAACGAACGAATTCGAATACATAAAAGTTGAAAAAAATCCAAACAAAAAAGGTTATGTTCAATTACACACAACACATGGTGATTTAAACATCGAATTACATTGTGACATAGCTCCAAGAGCATGCGAAAATTTCATCACTCTTTGTGAGCGTGGCTACTACAATGGTGTTGCCTTTCACAGAAACATAAGGTATTTTCCTTTTTCCTTTTTCCTTTTTCCTTTTTCTTTTTCAAATTATTATTATTTTTTTTGTTGTAGGAATTTTATGATACAAGGAGGGGATCCAAGTGGGAGTGGGAAAGGAGGGGAGTCGATATGGGGAAAGGCGTTTAATGATGAAGTGAATTCGAAATTGCTTCATTCTGGGAGAGGGGTTGTGAGTATGGCGAATACTGGGGCCCACACGAATGGGTCCCAGTTTTTTATACTTTATAAATCGGCGAATCATTTGAATTTTAAACATACGGTTTTTGGGGGAGTTGTTGGTGGGTTAACTACTTTGTCAGTTATGGAGAAGGTTCCTGTTGATGATAATGATCGACCTCTGGTCAGTTTTTTTTTTATTTTTTTTAATATTTATTTTTATTATTATTAATGATTATTATTTTTGTGATTGTGTAGGAAGAGATCAAGATAATTAGTGTATCCGTGTTTGTTAATCCTTACTCTGAACCAGATGAAGAAGAAGAAGAAGAAAAAAAGAACGAAGAGGAGAAAACTGTTGATGATGAAGAAAATGTTAGTTTTTATTTATTTATTTATTTATTTTTGATATGGTGGTTATATTTATTTTGTATTAATTTTTCTTTTATAAATTTGTTTTTCAGGAAAAGATTGGATCCTGGTATAGTAATCCTGGAACAGGAGTAGAGGTAGATGACTCTGGTGGCGGTGTTGGTAAATACCTGAAAGCCAAGACCACCGACACCGCCACCGCCACCGCCAGTGATGGTGGTGGTGGACAATCGAATGGTGTGGGAAAGAAAAGGAAATTGGGTGTGTCAAAGCAAGATTTTAAAGATTTTTCTGGTTGGTAAAAGATTTTAAAAAATTGTGATAAAAGTGTGAAATATTATGAAACATTAGATTTTGTCTAATCCAAAATATTTTATGTACAGTTAAATGCATTTAAATAGGTGCTTTTTCATTCTAAAAAACACTCCTTATTGTGGGAGCTTTTTCAAAAAAGATTGTTAAATAACGAGCTTTTTCTATCATTGTGTATATTCAATTTCAATTAATAATAATAAGTCGACAAGTTATTTAAAAAAAAAAGCAATAGAAAAATATATATAAATACTTTTTGGGTTGATGACGTGGTGATTAGTTATTACATGACAGAAAAAATCTTTGTGAAAAAAAAAATTATTTTGTTGTATATTCGGTTTTGTTAAAGAATTTAACATATTACTTTCGTCGTGCTTTCGTTCGACCCACGACATGTCACGTAGGTTGTAATGCTGCTAAATTTTTGGATTTTGTTTTGTGGGTGTTACTTTGACAACAGTGGTGACTATTCATGACTAGATGCAATTTTTGTATATACGAAAAAGTTGAAGAATCAAGAGTATGGAATATGAAATATAACAAAAATACTTTAACCATTGTAGACGACAATATAAATGTATCCGACGATTTAAGAAGAGAAGTAAGTAAAGAAGTTAGTGAGATTCCATAGATAGCCAAGTTTGCGAAATTAGGGCTCGTTTGATATTGCTTCTAACCGGTTCCAACAGAGGACCCGGTCCAAAAAAGATCAATCGGGATGTTTGATTTCGTTTTAAAATCAAGGACTCGGTCCATGTTGTGGACTCGGTCCAAGAAAAAGGATTGATTCGGTCCTTCACTTTCAATTGATGGACTGGGACAAAAACGTTCGTTGCCTTGCCTTTCCGATTTCGCCCTACACTTTGTGACAATCTCCACAGAAAAAGCAGCAAGTTTGTTCCTCCCAACCCCGCTGCTCACCGACTGCTTTCTTCCTCCGACCACTCAACTGGAGACGCCTGCTGACCAGGTTAGTTTTCCTTGCCTTTTTCTCATTTTTTGTTGCTTGATTCTTGCTGAAATTTTTTTTTTTCTGTGATTTCCTACTTCGCTGTCCTTCTTTTGTTCCTTTTGTTGTTGATGTGCATTTGCTTTGCTCGATTTGTGCTTAATGTGATGTTATTTGCTTTTTTTTCCCCGATTTTTTACTGTTATTGTTGTTGTCCTTTTTTCCTGCGTCGCCCCCTTCCCTGTTAGGTTCTGATCTCATCTATCTCTGCAAAACGATTCTGACTCACAATAGATTCTTGCTGAAAATTTTGATTTTTGTTTAACCATTATTTGTGTGGTTGTTTTCTTGATTTTTGTTCTTGCTGATTGTTGGATAATAGGTGAAATTCCAGCTTGGATTGGTGATAATGAAGACGAATTTCATTGAATTAGGCTATATATTTGTGTTTATGCGAAAAACGTGTGTATATTTGTGTAAAAACAAAAAAAAAATATTTGATATTTCCACATGAAAACAGATGAATGGTTTGTATGTATAAATGTTTGTATGCTTTGTTATGTTTTAAAAGATATGTTTAACCTTTGGAGAAACAAATAGAGTGCAATGTTTTCATAAAAAATGTTGTTTGAGTGGTTTTTTTTTCCAAACAAAGGTTATAAATCTTTAATTTTTTTATTTTTCTTTACTGTAAGTTGAATGTTTTTATTTTAAAAAATGTTTTTTGAGAGTAATATAGTCATTTTGGTCGGTCAGTTAGATGAAAAATCAAACAACAAATTTCAGTAGGAAGTTAACTCAGTCAGAACTTTCAACCCAATCAGCTTCTAACCCATTCAGTTCTAACTCAATTGGTAACTATCAAACGACCCTTAGAGTGTTTTGAATGGTGTTATGGTGTGGTGAAATTCAACTGAACGAGTCTTGACCTTTGTTAGAACTTAGGTAATGTATCAAGATTAATTTTATTGAAAATATATGATAAACTAGTATTTAATTCATCCTGCGTGTTGCGGTAGAGAACTCGTTTGCAGTTAGTAAAACCGAAAACTATAAAAAAAAATTGTGTAAGGGACCGAAACGCCACTTTGATGAGGTAACTCATTTGTAATTCGTATATGAAATGTGATTTATAAATATCAACAGTTCATATATAGCATGACGACAATTAAACCATATCAAGTCGACCAAAAAAGTTTGAAAATAAAGTTATGATTTTTTTTGGAAAGGGAACTTCCCTAACGAGGGTTTCCGAGCCAACTTTCGCGCACCGATTAATCCCCGCTGCAAACATGAGGCTTTACCTCATGCCCTGGAGTCACTGCAGGCGAACCTCCATGGCCACAAGGGCTGAATGGTGCCAGGATTTGAACATGGGTCAATAGGTTATCCATCATATATTCCACATGTCTTACAAAGTCACCACAAACAATTATGTATGAAAGAGACAAACGAAAATAAAGCTTAAATGTACATCTTAAAAAATTAATAAAAACAAAAACTGTAAAAAGAAATTAGGTAAGGACGAAAACATAACCTTAATGTGCGGTGATAACTCTTTTGCAATTCATTTATAGAATACGATTCAAAATTATCAAGAATCCACATATATCACGATTATGATTATACAATATCAATTATCAAATGGGCCATAAAAGTAAGAAAATAAAGTTTTGATCAAAAAAATATATATGAAGAAGGCAGATGAAAATAAAGACTTGAAATTGTATCTTAAGAAAATTAATGAAAATGAAAACTATAAAAGAAATTATATAAAGGACAATGTAACTTTAAAATATAATAAAGGGATCTTAATAGTAACTTATAAAATACCAATAAAATTAATAAGGGATAAAAACTAACAATGAAATGAAAGGAAAATATAAATGTAAAAATTTACTATGCTTATATACAAAATCTTTATTTACATGTTGTACTCTTGTATAATATAAAGTGAAAGTAGTAATTAAAATCGGAAAAATAAAACAAATGACGATTCATATATATATCTATATATATATAGATATATATATAATATATATATATATATATTCTATATAATCTATATATAGAGGTAGTAGGTCATGGTGAGATGAGACGACCTAATTTTGTGAGACCGTGAGGAGAGCGCAACTCCTGCGCCCATTTATTTGTGTATGGAAAAAAACTTTATTAAAATAAAAATCAATATTAGTTCAAATATTTTTCGAAATTTTTGTTTTGAGTAGTATTTTCGCGTTATTATGTTTTCCAAAAAAAAACAAAAATACCAAAAAAAAAAAAAAATACTTTTTTTTACATATTCTAGTAAAATATTAGAATATTTTCACATATCTGGCAAACTCTAGGGAATATTCTAACATTCTAAAAAATCATATTAGAATATTTACAGTGTAATATTCTATTAGAATATTTCACGTATTTTAAAAAAAATGGTAATTTTTTTCATTTATTATTTATTATTATTTTTATTTTTTTAGGTAATTAAACTGACGAAAATAAATAATAAAAAAAGGATTTTCGGATTTTTCCTTTTATTCCTTTTAAAATTATTTTTAGATTTGGTCTCACGGTCTCACAAAAATTAGTATGATCTCAAATGAACCTGAACCTATATATATATATATATATATATATATATATATATATTATATAGATATCTATATATATAATAGTGCCGACTTCATAATCTTTTTTGATAAATAATTTGGTGGTTAGAGGTAGAAAAAAAAACCCCCCCACCGAATTTAAAATTCGAAAGCAAAACCACTTTATGCCTTGTCGTTGGCCTTCTACTAGATTAGATTATTGGATGATGACTAAATTGTCTTTTAGGTGATGGAGTATTTAATTTGATTATAGGTTTGAAAACATCAAGTTTAGAGATGTGTATATATATTTTTTAAACTGTAAATTAACCGAATTCCGTTTGCTTTACACGCGTTTAACTCTTATAAGATACATCCAACTTTAGATAGTGTTTGGTATGTAATCATCAAAAAAGAATCAAAATGGAAAGTTATAACAGAATGAAAAGAATTTTGTTTATTTGCCACAAATAAATGGAATGTAAATCGACTCATTTTCATTTAATCGAGGAGGGGAAGGGGGAGTGTTTATTTATCACACTCACAAGCTTTTACGCTTGTACTTACACACAAGCTTCTGTGCATGCACGCACAAGGTCTTATGCTTGTAATCTGGATATCCAATTTTCCAAAGTGTCTAAACGCACTCAATATGTATGGATGTATGATTTAAAATTCATAAGTGTCGTAGTAACATTATCTGAAAATTTGAAAGACATACCTATTTTTTAAAGATTCTTCTTAAAACATGATATAACATGAATACAACACATTATACATATAATAGCTAATGATTATGTATGTATAATATTTCACACAAGGAAAACTTCAAAGTACATTGTCATTTTAGATGACATGTGTTCATATGGTCATGTACCATCCTCAAGTGTAAAAGCTAATCCTCCAAAAAGTTCCTTAAAAAATGACCAATGATCACGTACACAAGTATTATCAAGCAAGGTTATAAATTCTAATAAACCTTAATTAAATAAATAATTATTTATTAGCTATGACTAAGATCATTTATCTTCTACATACTCGTATAATGTTCATAGAGAAAAATAAGAAGATAATCATATATTAGAGTTGCAAATTTTGTGTGTATTGGAAGTTCAGAAGTTGACTTGACTTTTGTGGGTTTAAACAATGTGCGACTTCAATGTAAACTATTTAACTATTATAGGACTAAAGTGTTAATATAAGCCTTATATAGGGTTGATATTGTAGAATAAAAAAGCTAGTTGTGAAGTTATGGTTAATTTGGGGCCAAATGAATGAAACTAAAAATTACGGGACCAAATGTGTCAAAATGTAATGACGTGTTTAACAATTGGAATATGATGGTGATTGATGGTTATGCTTTGAATTATAGTTAGAACTTTTCATTCAAGTTGTTAGTTCAATTTATGAAGATATAAACTGCATTTTTGATTGATTTTAGACTTATAAGCTTTGCAATTGGTTGATTCTAGACTTACAAGCTTGCAAACGAACTTCAATGGAGTTCCAGCTT